CTCAATGATTCGCTAGTGGAAAAAGCGTACTATTCCAGTGTCTCTTGTCTTTTTAGACTCCCTATCAACATCTATCCCTTCCCACCTCTTCTTATTTTCCTTCATCAGTGTTCCCACCCTGCCACATGCACCCTTTCCCAATTTGGGCGCTCTAAGCGCGGAGAAACAAAATCGTAAGCGCTGAGGAACAACAGTTTCTGGGTTGACAATCACCGACGCACCCACCTTCAGACCAACAGACACACTTAGTGAACTATATAACCCAAGATCGTAATCACAATCGTGAACTCTACAAGACAAAAACTGAGATCCAGTATAGTTCAGCACGTTTTGAGAATTGAGATTATTTTGGTTTGGCATTTCGGATGGTCCTAATTGCAAGAAGATCGTACAACTACTGAAGCGTCTAAAAATTTCCAGGAAGTGGAGAATGAACACGTCATTGGTAATCTCACTCAAATGCTTGGCGAGCAATGGACTGGTGTGCAACATAGGAATCGAACTCCACCAGACACCGCAATCCTGACTAGGCACGAGGTTTCCAGCATCTTGTAGTCAAGCATTGAAAGAAGTCCGTGTAATCTGCCTTCTTTTCATTGTTTCAGTTTCATCCACATTCCTACACTGATACTAGTACCGGTATAGGAATACGAATTGTCGTCGATTCATTGATTTTTGTCAATTTTTGGTCGGTGCATCTGGACTATCTCTCATATGGACCGTATGCAGCATACAACAAGATGGTTACATCAATTGATCAAATACTTGCAGGAGAGAGGCCTAGTCACTATTTAGGTAATAATTACATTTGTTTGGCAATATTGGGGCTACGGTCTCGACTTCTGATTCTTATATAGCTTCGAGCACTTCCTCAAGATTGGCTTTTTTTTGAGTCTAGTTATTAGTTATTGTGTTCCGTACATTACTCTTGCGAGCGAGAAGAGTGGCAAAAAAAGGGGTCACATCATGAACAAATAAGGAAACAGCTGCTCATTGAAACTCTTAAGGTTTGGTTAACCTAGTCAGACATTGCTACGAGATTTGGACCGTCCTGAATTGTTATCTGCTTCTAGGGCAGAGGTGGTGTAGTCGTAAGTGGTGCACTATCACACAGGTGTAGTAACGGGTTCGGATTCCAAATCGATATCCGGCTGAACCAAGCAAGCCTCCTATCCCTTCGGGTTCGGCTATTTGGTACCAGACTAGACTGGGAAGATAAAAGCACTTAATTGTGCATCGACTGGCCACCGCAAGCCATTGTATAGGCTACGATTCTGAATGGAAGAAAGTGCGTGGGCGCATCAATCAGATGGGGTTGATCGACGCCCAAGTCTTGATTTTTTATCCTTTATTACGATTCCATATTGAATCGGCACGTCATTCTATTACACCCCATTTTCCTTCACATCAGGAAGAATCCTCTTCAAATCATTTCTTTGGTAATAGTTAGCCCTAACGAACTATCAATTAATTCGTCCGGGAAGTGTCCCAAAACTGGAGGGAGGCTTAACTTCTCTTCCAATAGTGGTCACTTATTATAGTTGGGATCTCGTGTGCTCGAGATTATAGATGTTTCAACTGACCTAACGAGTTGCAGCGCTTGATCAAATGATCCACAGATAAGGGTCTTTTAAGCCCTCACCTATGACGATTTCTTTGAAATTTCGTTCAAAAAAAGTTGTTCTACCATAGCACCACAATATATAGCACTCACATCAGGACGGCAGGGCTTCAAACGACAAGGCTATCAATCTCTTCGCGCTTGTTTTGGGACTTTTTTCGAACTTTTTACATTATCATGCTACTGTCAATGCAACGACTTATAAAAGGTTTTGAGCGAAGCATTTATAAGTACACACCTATCACCTAACAGTAAACTGTAAAAAGTCCATGAAAAAATAATTCTCTGCTTACATCAGTCTGTTTCCTTCGAATTTTATTTCAGGGAGAGAGCAGAACGTAGAAGAGCTGAGAAACAATTCAAGGATGACAGCTTGGAGAAGGAAATCCGATATAGTACCTGTGATTGTCGGAGGAGATTTCAATTCACCATCACATCTTGACTGGACCGACAAAACGAGGTGATCCCCTTCGACCTAGATTTTCTTGTTCTATAATTACATGCTGTCCAGGGACTTACATGGCGGATGGGAAGTAGAATGGCCAGCAACGAAGATCATGCAAGAAATGAATTTTACTGATTCGTTTAGAGAGCTCTATCCGGATTCTGATTTGGAACCAGGTATGATCTGTGCGTTAGCTTGAAAACCTCGTAAAATCAGAAAAGTTAATCTTTTCGTGACTATTCAGTTCTAGGGGTAAGATTAATAGTTTATTACTACTCATAAATGTGTTCATTGCACATTGAAGTGATTTTCGCTGCACGCAACAGCTCCTGATGACTTTTTGAAGCTAGTTCTTCTTAACGAAGTTCATAGCGCAGGTCACAAAGCAGGAATGAACATTTTTTGAATGTGAAAAGAATTGTAGAACTGAGGGATTACAGCTTGCATGATCCTTAGGGCTTATAGTGATTTCGGGGATTTTCTTGATCTTTCTGTAGACTCATTCTACATTTGTTTAGGGCACACTTGGTCAACTGTTAATAAATACAATCCGGAGTGGGACTTCACTATTCCTGAACCACAAGATCGCATCGATTTCATCTTTTATCAAGGTAAGACAAATAGTGAAAGAGTTTTGATACTGCTATCACTGAGCGCAATGCCTGACAGCCTTGTAAATACCTTTTTCGGAGCCGAACTTTTTTTTCGGTTCTTTTTTTGCCCTTTTGGAAGGATTTTTCCTCGTTCCTAGCAACGCTTGAGTCATTAGTCACTTTCCTACTAAACGTATCTTTCAGGAAAAATCACACCTGTTCGATCGTACCTTTACTCTGGCAGTGAGCCTTTGAAGCCCATTCCTCATCACAAGGACAATGACTATCCATCAGATCACTACGCTCTTATTACAGAGTTCGATATTGACGAGCTACTGTGATTCCCAGTTTGAATATCTTACTCTTACGTATTTCGGAGTCCCATTATGCAGGCATTGATGTCAATATTTCCTGGGAGTGCAGAACCGCATCTTTTGCGCTTTTCTGTATAATTGTATGTATTATATGTATATCCTGCATTGTTCAAGAAAATAGTAACGGAATCGGATTATCGTGAGATGTTTATTTCCTCTGCAACTTGCTTCGACTTGCTCTGTATACGTATATATGTGCTTCTTTGAAGTTGCTTTCTTTCCATTTGTCTTCAAGTAGAACGGTAGTATCAACAGAACATAGGAATCGGCTGGAATCGTATTGCACTCGAACAGTACATAAGTTCATCTTAGCGGGCTATTTCAGTAGTAGAAATGAGCTAGAGCAACAAATCGAACTGCTTGGGGCAAAAGGAGACAGAGCACCTTGAAAGAACCACATACATATCTGCAATGTGAATATGGCATCCTGAATTTCAATAAAAGTTATAAAAATATTGCAAATGCACACGTGAGCTTAGCGGAGCTCCGCCACCAAGGGGCGGAGCATGCGCTGGAATTGGGCGGGGCCATGGCAAATTCTTCCATTCGCTCTCATAACAGATCAGACGCAGGGGAAAATTGTGTAAAGGTGGGGGATGGGTCAACAATTCAAAAAAGGAAGCTCACGCGGTGGGCGGAGCGTTCTCGCAGTGGGCGGCACTTCCCACAGAGATTCATAACTTGATTCCACGAAGGTGTCGAGACCAGGAAAAAAATAAAAAGAATGAGCAGGACCCTATGAGTCAGTGGGCATGCGTAAACTTAGCAAAGCCCTGCCCACAGTGGGCGGGGCGTACGTTGAGATGCAAGCTAATAGATTGAGTCATAAGTTCTCGGACAAAATGATAGCGATGATTTCTAGAGATCATAACTCGGGAAATAGCAGACGAAAATGGACGCGCGTGGCATTGTTAGATAGATTATAAAAAGCTCTTTTAAACACATACTGAAAAACACACCTGATTCTCTCTTTCCTGCAACCGTGCCCCATGATTTCGAGCCGTTGCAACTCCATCTCCACAACAACATCCTATTTCTTTTTTTATCTGGCCAAGAACCCGCGGACATCGATAGACGTATTAAGGAAGTTTACAAAAAGGGGGCTCCTGCTAGATGCACAATTCACAAGTGGCGCAAGAAGTTCACGTTGAACGACCATTCCATCGAAAATGAAGACCGTGCGCGACGCTCAATGGATGCTGCGGGACCAGGTGGAAGCCGATCCGTAGCTCCTCTTGAACCGGCAGTCACCGGCAGTCGAGTCAGTCTACAGTTATTCGTGGATTGAAGTCGATCGGCAAGGTGCGCAAGCTCAGTCGATGGGTGCCTCATGCTTTGAAGCAGTATGACATGGATTTTCGCGCCGGCATGACACTTTGTCTCCTCACGCTCAAACGCAGGAGTTGATCAGTGTACTCTTCAAAGCGTATTTGAAAGAGCTTTTTACATTCTACCTAACGTTTTTCGCGTTCATTTTCGTCACATCTTGCTCGAGTTATGATCTCTAAAAGTCATCACTATCACTTTGTCCGAATACTTATGACTCAACCTTATACTTTTCAAAAATGAATATAACTTCGTTCGAAAACATTCTAGAATGCGGAAAAAAAGTGGTCGGAGGTAATGGAACAAATGTGGCCAAATCCTCAAAGTGGGCGGAGCTTAGATCTATAACTCTATTCAGAAGCGTTCTGGGATGCGGCAAAAGGTGTTGAGGTGTAAAAGAACAAATGTGGATAAATCCTCGAAGTGGGCGGCACAGGAGCAGCATTGCTAATTGCCAACGGTATACTCAGTCACCAAAAGAGAATCTAGCAAGCTGTTCGTAGCTACGTATGGGCAGGAATATGGATCTTGCCCATCTCAACTCAGGAAAGCGTCAGTATGGCAAGGTAAGATGGAACCGTTTGAGAGAAGCTGCTCAACCCCTTCAGAGCCGAATTAGGCCGGTCAAACGGAGAATGACTAAAATGGCGATTTGATGTTCCAAAGCGCGAGCTATTGTATCAGGAGAATATTGTAGAAAACCGCTCAACGGTCGTACTTTACCTCTCATATATCTAACCAGAGATGAACTATATACATTCATACTGTTGATCATCGGCGAGCGATACTTGACTAAAAAGTCTCATTCTATGGTGTACTGTCAACTGTCGTCTCTCGCCTGCCCGAGGCGAGCATGGCCCCTTCGCGCCCTTATTGAGGAAAGATAAAAGAGTTATCTGGAACATAAGAAAGGTCAGGCGTCAGCAGGCGTAGGCACCTTTTTAAACATGCACTTGGCAGTGAAGATGTAAATGGACTTCAACTTCAACAACCCTATTCCCTACGAGAAAACTGCGCTTCTTCTTTACTGTACTCAGGAAAAAAATATTATACTGATTTCATTGCACTTTCTACGCCATGAATGACCCTAGAAGAGGACCTTCACTTCAGAATATGAGGGCGATAAAGTTAGGATACTTGCCTGAGGCTTGGAACAGACTGGAATTCAACGTTTCTATTCAATCTTTTCAATACCGAATATTTTTTCGCATATACGATGTCTGCTGACTGAAGAGGTTAGATCTGCGCGTATCTGCTTGTCTTTTTTAGATATACTTCATTGTACTGATCGCCGTTCTCTAAGATCTCGCAGCGCTAGTTTCAACTCATCACATTGGTCTTACGCATTTCTCCGAAACATCGTAATCACAATGGAGAATATTTATTGGAGAGTATTTAGTATTCAACGGTTTTTGGTGAAAATTCCTCACAACACATTGCTACAAACAATGGATTGAACTGCCACAAGTAAAATGGCTACAAGAAATTTTAAAAGAAGGTCAATTAGAACAGAATTCTATTTTCGTGTATAATAGTGATTACTGGATGTAAGTTCACTGTCCCGTTTGATAGTACAAATATGAGATGTAGTCTTGAACCTGTGGGTCAGGATATATTGGTGCGAAATCATTGTTGTAACTTTGATGGGTATAAAAATTCTAAGTTTTTACGTACTCAATATGTCCTCATCAACTTAGTAGAAAGAAAAAAGTAGAAATGCCGCATGGGAACAAAAAGTAATATTTTGCGAAAACAATATTCCAGAGGAAAAACGCAGTTATTGTTTAAAGATGAAGTTCTTACCACTTCGAAGCTTCGTTTGTTGAATTTACGGAAACGAACGGGTATTGAGATAAGCATCAAACAAACTCGGACTTTGATAACGACAACCACTGCTACAGTTTCTTTTGGTTTCATTCGGATGGAAGGTTTAAGTCAGAACCAACTACCTCGCCTACAACGCCCTTATTGTAATATAATAGCTCTGAACTTTGCAATAGCTTACAAAGTATAACTGCCAATAAATTTGATATTCTGATCCTGTCATCGCGACAAAGATACTCGGCGAGTACACTCGTTTCTGTATTTCTTACCTGCTGCTGCATTCCGCTACATTACTTCTCGCGCGGCGTCCCTCTCGCCGCGACGCGACAATTTCGTTCCTACTGCACCACACCCGGTTATTGGAGGTCCGTCTATTGAATTTGGCAGAAAACAATTCTGGAAAGGCGAGCGTGGTCGCTTATACATCCCCTTCTACTCTTTTAACAAGAATATATTAATGATATGAAGGTGAGGAGAATATTTCTGTGAGTGCTCACATGTACTTAGGGTTCCCTCATTTTTAAGTACGAAGCAACTTCAACTATGTGGATTTCGCACCAATATTCACACACTCATATTGTGCGCTGTGCTTGAATTTAATAGAACGAACAAAAAACGATAATTATATTACTTGCATGGTGTACAGATTGGGGGAGATAGTAGTTCGAACTCAGTGATGAGAGCAAAATGATCTGAAGGATAGTCGTTGTGTCGGTGGAATGGCATCGGCCTTAGTGGCTCGTATCCTGCGTACAGAAACGACCTTACCGGTCTAGCACTGCCTGAATCAAAGTATAGTCATCTTTCTCACAAAGTCATTATCTATTCATGTCGTTTAGAGCAGAATGATAACTCCAAGAGAATCAAGTCGTTTTTCTCTCGTTCAGTACTCCACAAAGGTGTTCAAAGTCGAACACGCTGGATATATTCAGTATCTTGCTTAAGGTTTCATGTTCTCTGATCGAACTATATGATTCTCACCTCGCTTCTCCTGAATTGGCTAGCTTGTCAAAGGTCCGTGCATAAGTCTTGCGACACTTTTGTTTTCCCAACTTATCTCGCTTCTTCCAAAATGTGGCGAAAACTCTAACAAGATTGGCGATTTATGGACAAAACTTCGGTCTCGGACGCGACTCGAACCCGTACTTGTGCTTTCCGGGCACCGTGCTCTATCCCTTA